GCTGAAATTACAATTTATTAGAAATAGTATCACAATATAATACAAGAGTTGTTCTGATTAGTTTGAATCAATAAACCCCAAGGAAGTACTTACCCATCTATAGAAATGGTGGCTGCATACATTCATTTTTTTGTTTTTTCAGACTGTTTTCCTATTTTTACCTGGTGAGCCTGCCAGTAACACATCTTCTGTCCTAGATTGACCATGTTTTCTCACCATATTGTAGTATTGTTATCCTATAACAGGAAGAAAGACTTCAGAAACCTCCTTCTCTCCTCTTCTCTATATCATAAATGGGATGGGTTCTGTAGTCCTCATAGATATGTAGCTGGAAACAATCTAACTGATAAAGAGAACAACACATGCTGGGAGCACAGGAAGTTATCGGGGGTTTTTTTTGCCTTTTGTTATATAAATAATACAAAACACTTTTAGTTGTATATTTAACAGACCGAAGGGGACCAATAATAGAGGTTCATTGTTACAGTTTACATACCCTTTAAAACTGAAATATATGTTTTCAGTGGTAAAGTGGCTTGTAAACGTGCTTTGGAGAGGCAAATAATTAAAGAGCAAGTCATGCGTGAAGTCGTTCTAGAAAAAACAATATGCTATCCAGTGGAGCACTTATATGTGGATGTAAGCAAGCAGAGTCATTATAGAGTGAATTCATTCATAAATTCACCAAGCGGAATGGTATGTATTAAAAAAAAAAAAAATTGTCCATTCAACTGTGTCTCTGGATATAACCAAAACTCTTCCATGTCAATTTATCTTTCTTAATTTCCTGCAGAGTGACTCCTAATTCTACAGCTGAGCAAGTATCATTCTATTAGAATTTGAATATATATATATATATATATATATATATATATATACATACTGTAGTACATTCTGTGGGCATGGCTACATTAACAGACTAGTATCAAATAGGTAAGATATGGTTTTAAAAGCACAAAATAGAAATGTTTAATAATTATATGGAATAAATAGTAGAATGCTTTCACATGGAGCTATCCTATTGCTTTGGAGATCAGAAAAGATTTCTTTCCCCAAAGAAGAAACTTGAAGCATGATTTATAAGGGTATATTGGCTTCCTCTGCATCAGCAATGGCTAAACCCAATGGACATACTGTATGTCTGCTTTTAGGCTATATATGAAAGCATCCAGTTTGTGAAGTCAGATGGAATCCTAATCTTTATGCTTATCCCTGGTCAGTGAATCTGAAAACTTTGAAGCGCCTGGTTGGCATGGTAGCCAGACAATTAGCATTTTTAAAAGATTGGTAGCCTAGGTATTGCTCTGAGAATGGGATTCCTTGAAACCAGATGTGTGCGTTGGGTTAGGACAAGTTACACAGTGTGCTGCATTGCCATGCCATTCCTTTTGAATGACACCCCAGCACACTTTCCTAATGCATCCCATTACACATGCCTTTTAGTGCAACACAACACACAAATATGAGCTATCTATGCATTATGATGAAAACAGTCTGCTGAAACCTGCATAGCTGTGCTTTGACAGTTCATTCAAAATGAACAGGATTCCTTACCTCAACACACAAAAAAACACTCAACATTGCACACATGGTAGCTGTTGCACAAGACAACTATCTGAATCCATACTTAAAGTAATTATAAAGTAATTTTTTTACATGCTTACCTGCTTTCTGCAATGGTTTTGCACAGAGCAGACCCAAACCTCCTATTCTTGGGTCCCCTCTGGCTAGCTTTTCCTCTTCTCAGTGGTACCCCATAGGAAGCTGCTTTCTATTGTGGCACATCCCCAGCCAGGCTCTGTGTGTACATAGACACAGACAGCATTGCTTCACCCCACCCCCTACCCCATCATCACAGGATATGAATTACAAGGGGAGCCAATGGTATCCACTATCTCAGCAAAACCTGTGAGAGTGGGGAGACAAGAAGTAAAACTGTAACAGATGGGCACATAGCTGGGTCAAATGAGGTAAGTATTGGGGGGGTTAAGGGGGCGATACTGTTGCCTAAAAATTTTTGCCTTATTGCAGGGAGTGCATGAAGGTAGAAAAACCTTGAGCCTTTAGAACCACTTTAATTATCACTCTAGTAGGGTCTCTCCAATGGTGTGACGGATTCCACAAAACTCCCTGTCTAGGACATTCCTGGCTGTGGTTGCATGCCTGCTTCCTCTACGTACAATGAGGGGTCAATAGCCCTGCATTGTGATTATGCAGAGGGACTGTCCACAGCCCTGAGAACCATAGGAAGAAGAGGAGAGCATCAGGGCTGTTTGGAGAAGGGGTAAGGTTAATACACTGCTCAAAAAATTGAAGAAATACTTTGAAAAAACATCAGATCTCAATGGGGAAAAATATCATGTAGGATACCTATACTGATATGGACTGGGTAATGTGTTAGGAATGTAAAGATGCCCCATCGTTTGATGGAAATGAAAAGTATCAACCTACAGAGGACTGAAATCAAAGACACTCCAAAAATCAAAGTGAAAAAAAATGATGCAGCTGGCTAGTCCATTTTGTTGAAATTTCATTGCAGCAACTCAAAATGGTACACAGTAGTTTGTAGGGCCCTCACATTCTTGTATGCATTCCTGACAACGGTGGGGCATGCTCCTAAAGAGACACAGATGGTGTCCTGGGGTATTTCCTCCCAGATCTGGACCAGGGCATCACTGAGCTCCTGCTCAGTCTGAGGTGCAACCTGGCGGTGTCAGATGGACCAAAACATGATATCCCTGAGGTGTTCTATTGGATTCAGGTCAGGCAAGCGTGGGATCCATTCAATGGTATCAATTTCTTCATCCTCCTGCCTGCATACTTTTTGCCACATGAGGCCGGACATTGTCATGCACCAGGAGGAACCCAGGACCCACCGTACCAGTGTAGGGTCTTAAAATGGGTTCAAGGATTGTATCCCGATACCTAATGGCAGTTAGGGTGGCATTGTCTAGCCTGTAGAGGTCTGTGCATCCCTCCATAGATATGCCTCCCCAGATCATCACTGACCCACTACTGTCATGCTGAGTGATTTTAAAGGCAGCATAACGTTCTCCGTGGCTTCTCCAGACCCTTTCATATCTGTCACATGTGCTCAGGGTGAACCTACTCTCCCCTGTGAAAAGCACAGGGTGCCAGTGGTGGACCTACTAATTCTGGTGTTCAATGGCAAATGCCAATCAAGCTCTATGGTACAGGGCAGTGAGCACAGGGCCCACTATAGGACGTTTACACCAGTGGCCTGCTGGAGGTCATTTTGTAGGGCTCTGGCAGTGCTAATCCTGTTCCTCCTTGTACAAAGGAGCAGATACCGGTCCTGATGATGGATTAAAGACTTTCTATGGCCCTGTCCAGCTCTCCTAGAGTAACTAACATAAATTAAGTGATGCCACCATTACAAGCCAGGGTAGCCTTTTATCGAGCTCTCCGACGCACCAATAATAGGGTGTGGGTGTCAACCTCAAAGACACATAAAGAAACACAGAGCAGCTGCAAAGAGTATACTGACAAAGTAGGTAATTACTCACCCATGCAGAGCAGCTCACAAAATATAACTATTCTTTATTAGTTTCAGATAAAAAATGTGTGATATCTTCCAACAGTGAAAATTTTCACTATCAGAAGATATCACACATTTTTTATCTGAAACTAATAAAGAATAGTTATAATTTGTGAGCTGCTCTGCATAGTGATTAATTACCTACTTTGTCAGTCTGCTCTTTGCAGCTGCTCTGTGTTTCTCCTAGAGTAACTGCCTGTCTTCTGGAATCTCCTCCATGCTCTTGAGACTGTGCTGGGAGACACAGCAAACCTTCTGGCAATGGCACGTATTGATGTGCCATCCTGGAGCAGTTGGACTGCCTATGCAACCTCTGTAGGGTCCCGGTATCGCCTCATGCTACCAGTAGTGACACTGACCCTAGCCGAATGCAAAACTAGTGAAAAATAGGCAGAAAAAGATGAGTAGGGAAAAAAATGTCAGTGGCCTCCACCTGTATAAACCATTTCTGTTTTGGGAGTCATCTCATTGTTGCCCATCTAGTGCACCTGTTGTTAATTTCATTAACACCAACACAGTTGAAAACTGATTAACAACCCCCTCTGCTACTTAACTGACCAGATCAATATCCCAGGAGTTTAATTGACTTATTTATTTATTATTTATTTCAGGTACTTACCGTCCATAAGACGCACTTTTTTCCCCCCAAAAAAGGGGGGAAAAATGTCAGTGCGTCTTATGGAGCGAATATGGTCCGGTATTTCCACTGCCGCCCTTTGTCAGAATACCGGGCCGGCCGCTCAGCTCTACAGCGGGACCTTATAGAGATGACTGCTGACCTTTGGGGAGGGAGGGGGGAGGGGGAGCGGGTACCTGAATTTGACAGGTACCCGCTCCCACTTCCGTGGAGTAGTTCTTTCATCTTACCCGTTCCTCTATCCAGCGGCGCGGTCTTCCCGGCTTCTGTAGTGTGGGCATGACAGCCGGGTGCCAAGTGCGCATGCGCAAGAAGCGGAAGCGGTGCTTTTTGTGAATGGTAAGGCGGCACCTGGGACACATGACAGATCCCAGAAGCCGCCGGACCAATCACAAAGCGCAAGTGCTTCTCGCTCATGCGCACTGGGCACCCGGCTGTCATGCCGAGCGCCATTACAGAAGCCGGGAAGACAGCGCGCGGCTGGATAGAGGAACAGGTAAGATGAAAGAACAACTCCGCGGAAGTGGGAGCGGGTATCTGTCAAATTCAGGTACCCGCTCCCCCCCCTCCCCAAAGGTCAGCAGTCATCCCCTGTACTATATCCACAGTCTCTGGTCATCCCTGTGCTGTCCGCAGTCTCTGGTCATCCCTGTGCTGTCCGCAGTCTCTGGTCATCCCTGTGCTGTCCGCAGTCTCTGGTCATCTCTGTGCTGTCCACAGTCTCTGGTCATCCCTGTACTGTGTCCGCAGTCTCTGGTCATCCCTGTACTGTGTCCACAGTCTCTGGTCATCCCTGTACTGTGTCCGCAGTCTCTGGTCATCTCCTGTACTGTGTCCGCAGTCTCTGGTCATCCCCTGTACTGTGTCCGCAGTCTCTGGTCATCCCTGTACTGTGTCCACAGTCTCTGGTCATCCCTGTACTGTGTCCGCAGTCTCTGGTCATCTCCTGTACTGTCTGCAGTCTCTGGTCATCTCCTGTACTATGTGTGCAGTCTCTGGTCATCTTCTGTACTATGTGTGCAGTCTCTGGTCATCTCCTGTACTGTGTCTGCAGTCTCTGGTCATCTCCTGTACTATGTGTGCAGTCTCTGGTCATCTCCTGTACTGTCCGCAGTCTCTGGTCATCTCCTGTACTATGTCTGCAGTCCATTAGTTCAGAATTTTTTTTTTCCTGTTTTCTGCCTCTAAAACCTAGGTGCGTCTTATGGTCAGGTGTGTCTTATGGAGCGAAAAATACGGTATATAGCGCCTTGATGCTATACTCTGATTAAAAAGTATTCCTTTAATTTTTTTGAGCAGTGTATTTACCATTCCCTTGGGGAAGGGGGAGTGTCCACTGCAAGGCTTTTTTTCCCTCCAGCCCAAAATTGGGAAAGAAAAACGCGATGTATTTACTGCAGGTGTTTGACACCCAATATACTACAATGCACAGCATTTCTAACCAGTCATTATCCAGCAAGCTGGGATTTGTGGTTCCTAAAGGGTGTTGCTGGTGTGTGTGTTCATTTTAGATTGTGTGTCTGTGGTACTGTGAGTGGACATTGTTGACATGACTGTTTTAAATGGTTCTATGTACTCTATGAGCTATTGCAGAATTGGCCTGCACTAAATAAATTAAAACAAATAAGAAATAAATGTGTTTCTTTTCTTCTTATGCCCTAGAAGAGAATGTCAATATAAGAATTTTCGTGGAGAATACTAATAAACACAAATCATTAAATATACAAATAATTTTACCATCAATATTTACAATGTGAACAATATTTCTCAATTAACAGGAAATGTCTAAAATCAATAAATTAACCTTATTGAAGTTCCTAGATCTAAATCATAATTAGGTATCTGTCACGGAAAGCATTCATATCAGCTTTAGCTTTTCTCTGAATTCGGTTTACATTTCATTTCATGAAAATTCTTTCAGCAGTGAAAACAAAACGCATCTTCGAGAAAGCGGAATATTATCCAGTATCCCCCTCTAGTGGTTATTTGTGCAAAACATAGTTATTCAACTACAAAGTTCCTCTAATTGTTTTCTGTTTTTAGGAAGTACTTGGCCTCAAACAATAAATTTGTCATTATGCAAGATAGCCAAAGAAATAAATTTGTGTTTGTTTTTGTTTTCTTTCTTTTGTAGTATTCTGCAAAAATGGTTAACATTCTATCATTTATTAATATAAAAAGACGGGAAAAAAAATTCCTGTTTTGTTTACCAATTATTTACCAACTATTGGTATTGTAAATAAGAAAGTATCAATTTAACACTGAATTTTGCATTGTTTAAAAAATCACAAAAATGTATGTTTCTGACACACAGCTGGTAAAGGTATTTACAAATGTAATATATTATTTTCTTTGCAGCTTTTTGTGTGTGGTGGTGGTGTTTGGGGTTAATAATAACACCACAAAAATTTAAAAATAAAACTATAACAAATAATGTTTGCATACAAATGGTTAAACAAAAAGTCCCATCTAAAAAATTATTTATTTAAAGTGGTATTAACCACATGCCTACTGGGCACGATTACCCTCTTCTTACCCAGGCCAATTTTCACACTCTCACACTTTGAATGACAATTGTGCGGTCATGCAACGCTGTACCCATATGACATTTTTAGCATTTTTTCACACAAATAAAGATTTATTTTAGTGGTATTTAATCACCATTGGGTGTTTTATTTTTAAATAAATAAAAAATTAAAAAAGATTGAAAATTTTGAAAAAAAGTTTTTCTTCGTTTCTTATTTTGCAAATAAACAATCTTTCTACTCAAATTTAGGCCAAAATGTATTCTGCTACATTTCTTTGGGAAAAATAACCCAAATCAGTGTTTATTATTTAGACTCCAGCAAAGATATAGAGTCCACAAACTAATGTATATATCTAAAATTGATAATGTCTGATGTACAGATGGCCTATCTCATTTCTTGAGGACAGTAAAAGTACCCCCCCCCCCAAATGACAGCTTTTCAGAAAGTAGACAGTCTGGGGTATTTAGTAAGACGTATGGCGAATTTTTTGAAGTTGTCATTTTTTTTTTAAGATATTTAAAGATTTTTATTACATTTTTTTTCTACTTCTGTGACCAGAGCAATACAATGTTACCATAGCAGCATTGTGCTATTCTGGGTAAGGGAAAGGTTGTCAGCTGCCTGCACGGCATCCTTGTTTGACTCCCCCTTGCCCCTCTCCATCAGTGCTGGGGTCACATTAGCTCAGTGATGGAGAAAAACTGAGAGAAACACTGGAATACTAGTCAGGACCAAACGTGTATTTGATTTGGAAGAATAAATCACCTCTAGCGTTGGGTGTCTATGTGTGGATGTTACTGCATTATATAAAACTATTATAGTTTTTTACATTTTAGAATGGGCTGCCTCAGGACTGTCCATAATTTTAGAGGGTGCCAAGATTGTCCATAATTTTAGAGGGCTGCCTCAGATTGTCCATAATTTTAGAGGGTGCCTCAAGATTGTCCATAATTTTAGAGGGTGCCTCAAGATTGTCCATAATTTTAGAGGGTGCCTTGAAATTGTCCATAATTTTAAAGGGTGCCTTGACTGCAAAAAGGTTGAGAAACACTGCTCTATACTATCTACTACATAGTTATACTGAAGGTAGCGCAGGGGTATCACTTATTTTATACAACATATAGATGATAGCTCCCTGAGCATTGCCATACTGTTCTTTTGTATTGAACTGTATTGTAATTATACTGTCTCCCTTTATATTGTAAAGAGATGTGCAAACTGTTGGCGCGATATAAATCTTAAATAATAATTTAAAAAATAATAATAAATGACATATCTCCACATATCTACTAACAGCTGTGTTAAGGTTGTGGTTCACTTTAAGAAAAGCCATCTAAAATAAAATATTGACAGTGTCTAGAAATGAGCCACGAGATGAGCTCCCCACCGTATGTAAATTTCTAAAAAAAAATACAAAGTCACCAGAAGCCATTGATTTCCAGTGTTGTTTCCTTTGCAATGGAAGCATGAAAATAACTATGTACATCAACATTTTTCAACCTGCTCTATAGTCTTTTTTAATTGCTTTCCATGTGTACATATGTCTACATCTAAACTGATGCCCATAGTCACCATAGCAAATGGTTCAAATGGCCAGAGTAGTCTTAGCATCCAGTGGTTGATGTGCTATGCCCATATAATCCCGCCATGTAGATTCATTTACAGCCAAAGAAGAAGAACACACGTAGCTGACAACAACATGATGGAACAACATAACAATTCTCATTTCCTTAAAGTTTTCCTTTTTTTGTTTTATATGTAAATGTTGTTTTACGTTGTTGTCATGCTCTGCCATCTAGTGTCAACAACCAAACATTTCACCAGTTCTGGGATTATAATAATAATTTATAGTAAAGCGCAGCAATTTTTAACTCATTCTACAGTGATAGCATGCAAGACAAACATGGAATGGCACAGGAGCTTGTACTTAAATCAGTTAACTTTCATATAGTGTAGAATAGGGAAAACACAGAATATTAACCACTTGCCCTCTGGAGGCTTTACCCCTCTTCCTGACCAGGCCATTTTTTTTGCGATACAGAACTGCATTATTTTAACTGACAATTGAGCAGTCATGCAACGTTGCACCCAAATGAAATGTATGTCCTTTTTTTCCCCTACAAATAGAGCTTTCTTTTGGTGGTATTTGATTGCCTCTGCGGTTTTATTTTTTGTGCTATAAACAAAAAAAGTCCAACTATTTTGAAAAAGAAACAATATTTTTGACTTTTTGCTATTAAACATGTCCAGTAAAAAAATTTTAAAAATATAATTTAATCATAAATTTAGGCCAAAATGTATTCTGCTACATGTCTTTGCTAAAAAAAAAAAATCCCAATACCTGTAAATTAATTGATTTATGTGAAAGTTATAGCGTTTACAAATGGCGATATATATACTGGATTTTTTTTCACTAGTAATGGCGGCAATCAGCGACTTATAGCGGGACTGTGGGACTGCAGTGGGCATTGTGACACTGGAGGGAACTGACTTGGTGTCACTGACATCCCCAGTGACACCAATACAGTGATCAGTGCTAATAAAAAGCACTGACACTGTACTAATGGCACTGGGCAGGGGTTAACGTGTGGGGCAATCAAAGGGTTAACTGTGTGCTGTGTGTGCCCTACCCTGAACTGCAAAATCACATATATATACATAATTTTGCTCACCCGTGCCGCCCTGTAGCAGCTATTCTGCTATAGGGCGGGGCGGGACAGAAGCGGTTAAAGAATAAAAGAGCAAAAATAACTTTGCAGCAGTAAAAACACTATGGGATTGATTTACTAAAGGCAATTAGAATGTGCACTTTGCAAAGTGCAATTGCACTCTGCAAGTCCAGTTGCTCCAGAGTTTAGTAAATGAGCAGAAGCTCTGCTGACTTCCATCATCCAATCATGTACAAGCAAAAATGCTATTTTTTTTAACATTCCTTGTATGTAATTTGGGTATTCTTGGCAAAGGGACGCTTTACCTCATTTACTAAGCTCCAAAGCAACTGCACTTGCAGAGTGCTATTGCACTTTGTAAAGTGCACAATCTAATTGCCTTTAGTAAATCAACCCTATGTGTGTATGTCAGTCTTTTACAGCAATAGCATACAACACTGTACATGGAAAAAGATGCTGTTTATTAGTTTCTTGCCTCATTTTTATTTTGCATGCTTGCTGTAGGTTTTCTGTACTCTGAGATTTTCCCTCTGTTTTATGATCTGCTAATCTCCGTTAGGTTATCCTTAGTGCTTTGTGACATGGCTCTATCTTACATATCTAGCAGATGTCCAACCACTGAAGAGTAATGCCCAGTGGATTGGGTTAGGGGAACTATTAAATATCTTGAGTACCCTACTAGTTGACCATGCTGGATGCACACTATAAGAAAATTGGGTGAATGATCGTCCAGGTTTCCTTGATGTTTTACAGCAAGTTGAACCCAAGAATGGTACTAATTGTTCAAAAATTGTCAAACAACAAAGGCTTTTTTTTGTTTGGCGTAGAAGGGTTACAACGTAGATTATTGTTGTTTATTGTTTCTGATCATATGCAATCTTTTATACCTGATTTTGTTTGTATGAACACAGATTGTTAGTTCTGTTCATGTACGAGGACATTTTGGATTAGTCCCTTCGGAAATTTTCATTTGGAAAGTCTGAATTGAATGTCAAAATTTGGGTATACACTATACGAAAATCGAACGATCAATCCTCGTGCAGAATA